GAAGAGGCTTACAAGAACTGTTCCTTGTCTGAAAAGACCAACAGAAGAGTGTCAACTATGACTGGATTAAAATAAAAAACAAGGAATATTTTAAGTCCTAGGAACAACTATCCATAAACCAGGTGGAAAGTCAGCTCTACTGGCATCTTTACGAACAGATAAAGGCTTAATTACATTAAATAAGCAAAGCTATAACACAGTTTCAAATTCTTTCAGAAAGCTAGAACTTGGAATAATCTCGGGACATCACAAGCTTACACTAGTGATCCAAAAAGTATGAGAGGTAAAGACTTCAAACAACTTGAAAGGAAAAACTACTGACTTGGCTGAATCAGAATTGTTGGGGTTTATTTTGGCCTCTGTCCTTTCCTCTTTCTTTGACCTTGGCAATGTCACTTTGCTGCTAATCTTCTGTGCCACTTTGTGGAACACAACCATGGTGACTTTTAAAAAGCACTTCGCTAACTGGCATGAACACCTTCAGCAAAATCTTTCAATGTAGTGCAAATAACAAACATGTTTTGCTGAGACAGTAAAAAAAATCAAATATGCTTTTGCTAGCTCTCCATAGTATTAGTTAATTGGCTTTATTCCTATAGCAATGCTGGCATATCTAACACTGACAGACAGACAGGACCAACTTTGTTATTTACAATACTTCACTAAAACCAACAGGACTGTCTCTTTTTGATCCTAAGCATCATGTGCCAGGCACTTTTCTCTGGCCAGAAATAAGACTTGAATCAGATGAGAGATAAAAGAAAGGGAAACTCTTAAGAGCTATTCTAAGCACAGTCATGTTGATGTCAGTGGGCATTTCTAGTTGCTTTTTTTCCCTACAGCTCAGCATTTAGATTATTTAGGTGCTTTCACATTGGGAAAGGCCTACTAAGGATTCCATAGCATATGCTCAATGGCTCACCAATGTGCAGCTGAAGAAGGAAAGAAGGAAATATCACCACATGAAGAGAAGCAGCAGCAGCCACTGAGGATTCTGTCAGATTAGTAAGATGAATTTTCATATGGAATAACTTGAATCCCTTAAATGCCCAAAATAAAACAAAAATACTTATCTCCACAAACAGCAGAACCAAATAGTTTCATAAATTACCTTTTTTCTCTCATGTGGTTATATGACTGACATATGAGTTGGTAATGCCATCGGAACACTTGTCTACCAGACTTAATGCCAGCTGAACTCAGACTCAAGAAAATAATTTCACCATCACTAAAACTAAATTACAGGTGTACAATTCATTCTGTAAAGACCTTTCTGTACTCACTTCCTGATTGCATCCCCAAAACAATAAAACAGGCAGCCCTCAGAACCTCCAAGATTTACATTAAGTCTTCCTCAAACAAACACAGTACTAAACATACAAAGCACTTTTCCTACAATCTAAATGTATTAGCATTAAATGTTAAGTTACGAAAATGTAAAGAAGAAAAAAAAATTTTAGAAAACTATAGAACAGAAAAAATTTCCTTCTTTTCACCAAAAAAGATGGATAACATCTCTTTTTGGCTAAAAAGATGGATAGCATTTGGAGTGCTTTTTGATGAGGAATATCTCAAGAAAGAGACATCTCCTGGAATTTTCAAATAATCATCTGAAGTTCAGTTCAGATGAACTAAAGTGAACTTATCTCCCAAAGTAATCAAAACCCTACGTTCTTCATTACGCTACCAGAAATGCTGACAACTATTCTGAGCGTTGTTTTGGTACAGGAGTCCACCAAGCTGCAACAGTTTAAATCAAAAAAGATGTTTTCTCCAAATCCTTATATAATGGGGTAATTTCTCAGACTTGCATTAGGGTGCCCACTTGATACGCTCAAGATGTAATGTGACCTGCTTAAAAGATTCATCATCAAGCACAGTCCTTATGCATTCTGTGTCTGCCTAAATATAAGCAGACATCTGACAACAAGGCATTCTCTGATTTTTTTCTATTCTAGTAGAAAGAAGGATCCTAAATAAGGCAATTCTGCTCTTTCCCACTGCCTGATCTTGTTCTCTACCTCCCAAATTAACTCATCCTGCAGCTTCATAGGCACTGTGTGGATCCCAGCTGGTGCCTGAAGGCAAGATGAGATGTACAAGAATCACAATCTATTACTTAACGTAGGCAGTAGCAATCAATAGATCAATACAGCTGATGCTGCCATGACAGCTCTACAGCACTTGGAGATGTTTAGCACATGTGGGAAATGCATCTGCAAGAATCCTTTCCAAGCTCTTGCCAGCAGAACCTCTTTCCTCACCACAGACACATCACTGCCTGTCACCTAGTGGGTGGTAACTTGTGCAAAGGAAATGCTACAAGCTTGTAATTCTACAAGCACAAAGCTAACAAGATAACCTGCTCTCCATTACACATGGTAATTAAGAAAACAGTTCATCAGAAAAACAGACAAAATGCAAGCTATACATTAATCAGGATGCAATCATATACTCAGCCCAGTAATCTCTACAAAACTACTAAAAAGCTTTCCACAGGAAACAGAGCAGAGAAATTTCTAAGATGCTTATTATATATAAGAGAAAAGGGATTTCAGCTATGCAGTGACAGAATAATCAAGAAATACATGACTTAGGCAGCTCAAAGTTGTTCATCCTACAATCCCTATCCCCACAAAAAAGCTCCACCATTGTCATAATCTAATATTTATGATGCTTGCTCTGTAGGTGCACTCAGAAAATAACATGCATTTCAAATGTTTAAAATAGCATACATTTTAAATTTCTCTTCAACCACAGAGCACAGAATGAAGAACTTCATTGTTTAATAAACAGCTGTTGCAATGTGTCGAGCCCATACCCGAGGCTACTAATTTATCTAATTTCAAAAGAGAAAAACAAACCAATAATTTTTCCTTAAAGTATCTTAAGTCCTTTCCTCCACTACCAGCTCCTACATTCATTTACTTTCCCAAATGTAATATTGCTTGCTCCAGTCTTATCTGGGATAGAATTTTCCAATACCCATCATTTCTCTGCTAGATCTGATGCTATCTTGGTCACAACCACCATGTAAATTCTGTATCTTTCCCCTTCAAACACAGAGCGTCTCTGATTTTTTTCAGAGGCATTCTGACTCATTCTTCCCCTTTCTTTACTTTTGTGTCCTCCCAAATGATGGAAATTATAGAAATACATGTAGCAACCTCTCACTGGCCATTTACAGTGCAGCACAATTACACTCTGCTAATTCTTTGCGACAAGAGCCATTTACTCTTGTTGTTGACAATCCAGGTGTTTTCTAGCATCCCTATCTGTCTGGCTGGCAACACTGTGCACTGGGTGTCCCTCTGGTTGGCCTGGTTCTCTTGCTGAAGCTTTTCCCTTTTACAACTAGAAGTCTCTGGTCTAAATAAAACAGTAAAGTACTAGAAGCTGACAGATTTTTATCTTAGAAATAACTTATCTTAATAACTTAATAATTCTAAACCTCAACTAGCACTTAGCAAGGAAATATTAATGGTCTGTTAGCAAAATAAGCAGGTAAATAGTTTCTTAGGTAAGGAGGAAAGGCACAACACTGAAAGGCAATTATTTCTCATTCACAGATGCAGCCAGTCATTCATTAAGTCATGCAGCAAATAACTTCCAATTTTACAACATTTATCACCATGCCCATATATTTGCCATTTTTAAGGGAAGGGTTTAGACATCAGGAAATCTTTATTGACATTAAGATTGCCTTACTCTAACAAAATGGGAAACTTGTTACTGTAAGTACAATACTGTAGAAACTAGCATGAATGCTCTTATAGTTCCTTTTTTTTCCACTAACAAAAACTAATAATACATTTTTTACTCTTCCACAACCAAGTAAATGCATGGCCACAATGTAAGAGACCACAAAAACATAGGAAGATACTGGAAATGTACAGCATTGCAATGGTTAATGCTAGTGAATCTATTTAAGACACTAAAATTCCCATCTATCAGACCTCTCTGCTAATGTCCCTGCCCTTAAAGCAAAAGGGAACATATGCCTGCATCCCAGCCACCCAGTTCATAGAGCTTCTTATCAACTCAAGCCATAAATAACAATGAGTTCATACTAACACACCAATCTAAACCACTACATCCAACATGCAGGTCTGTGTTTGCTCTTGCCGTCTAGACACAGACAAGCAGACAGCAAGGCTAAACAGCTGCATACTGCATCGGGAAAGGAAATTATGATCTTTAAACCACTGCAGTACTTTGCTCCCACACCCGTAAACAACATTCTATGTGTGTGTTTGACTTTGAGAAGTTAAAGTTTGTGAAAAGAGACACACTACAAGAACAGCACCCAAGCAACACACAGTAAAGCTGTATTACAGAGCAGCTGAAATCACCATGATTTCCACAATCCTAACTACCAAAGATTCCCTTGCTCTCTAATGGGTGAGCTGTATCATGTAAAGCATCACAAATATCAGCTGAAGTCCTGAGTGACATTTTATTCACATGAGTTAATGTTTTTGTCAACACCAGCTCTAGGATGGATGAAGAGAAAATCCAATTCTGCTGGGATCAGTTAAATCTCCCATAAGGAAAACAGGCTTGCATCTCATCTATACAGCAAAATCTAGCAAGTATAATGAAAGCCTAGGAGCATTTACCCTTACAAAGAAGCACTTCTTCTTCCAAAAAGAGGAAGAATAATACACATTTTAAGTTCAAGTTTATTCTAAGGTTTTCTAACATACAGAAGTCTGTTGAAATGGCAATAAAACCTGGACACTATATGAATATACTGGCAAAGCATGGTTCATTCACAGTTGCTTTTCCATCCGATCATTTAAGCTGCTTCTACAGATTGAAAGCACTCACATGTTTCCTGTGATCTCTAGCACCATACTGCATAAAAATAAACCCTTCTGGGATTGAATTAGAGGATACAGTGGTTCACTAAATTAACACTACTCCCCTCTTTCCTTTGTATGATTTTCTTCCTCAAAACCATGTCCCAGCACCCTGACTGTTCACTGTATAGCACTTACTGTTGCTGGACTTGAGGTCACGGTGAATTATGGGAACAATTGCTTCCTCGTGCAGGTAGTTCATTCCCCTGGCAATCTGCACTGCCCAGTTCACCAGTATGTCAGGAGGTATCCTTTTACCAGACAGCACCCTATTGAGCGATCCTCCGCGGGCAAACTCCATGATCAGGCAAAGGTTAGGTTCCTTCAAGCACACGCCCCTGAGGGCAATGATGTTGGGATGCTTTAACATTGCAAAGAGCTTGGCCTCCTGGCGGACATTCTCAATGGTCTGGCTGATGTCCTCATCGGGGTCATAGCGAGCTGCCTTGACAGCAACCTCATCTCCTATCCATACAGCTCGATAGACTTTTCCGAAGCCCCCTATGCCAATGATTTCCTCCAGAACAAGCTCTGAGAAGTCGATCTCTAGGACTAGGAAAGAGACAAAAAAAATGTAAGCATTTAGTAACTATGCACTCTGTACATCAGCTGAAGGTCCACGCTGGCCAACTCACCCCTGCCCTTGGAGGAAGGGCCAACTTTCACCAAAACAATACAAAGGAAAGCAGTGGGCCTTTCTGACAACCCTTTAGTGCTGAATAGTATGGTAAAACACACCTTGCAGTGTCATAAAACTGGCATGAAGTACTCACTGTAAATGGTAAAACAATAGAATAGCCTTCTCTTACCACAGTTAAACCCTATTACTACTGATGCTCCTGCCCCTACCCTCCCTTAAGGATAAACTCTCAATGACACTACCAGATTCTGAAAATGAAAAACACACTCACCAGCTTATCTTCGCTGTGTTCACAATACAGTGCTTATATGTAAAACAGCTAAAACACAAAATGCATGTTCTTCTCCATTTCTCCCTTATTTGAATGGCTTTTGTTGAACTGCCACAACAATCTTTTAGTCCTTCCCAAATCACACTTATTCTTCCACACCTCTCCAGGCTTTGCAGATTTGGTCCCCACAAGAGATCTGTTAACCAGTTCTGACATAACCAACAACAGTGTGACACACAGATGGATCAAACCATATACTGAGTGCACAGAACAATCAATAAGAAAAACATTTCTTGATTAATGCATACTGCATTTCTGTTACAAAAACTTCCTATTCCCATACACTAACAGCTATACTTAACAGGCTGACACAAAAGGATGCAGCTGGCTCAATTCAGCACACAAACTGCACCTGGAGCAAAAGCAATAGGAAATTGTATCCTGTACAACTGTACACTAAACACAGTTTATATGGGTGGCCAAAAGAACCCATCTAACACTGACTAATGTAGAATAAAATTCCACATACTGACCAACAAAAACATGTTGACACAGCTTCATTTTCAGTAGTGGAAGGCTACCACTGATGCTACTCTGTATGACATTTGCATGGTTACCAAATACAGTCAATGACATTTTAAAAAGTTTTAAAGGAAGAGTACCATAATGCAAGATTTTAACAAAAAGTCACCATGTCTTTTAATATTTTCCTGCATTTGAAATGCCAGATCTGACATGGTTCTCCTGCCTTGTCTAGCAGAACTGAAACTAAGCATGTAAGGGAGCAGGTTAGATCCCCCTTAAATAAAGTAGTCTCCTTATTCCAATCAAATGCCTTTCCAATGTATAAGTCTACAGTACAAGACTATGTCACAAAACTGTATGGAGTTAATACAAATGCTTCTGTCCACAGCTGCAGGCTTGTACTTTGTCTGAGTTCTTCCTTTCCTGAACATGATTTTTAGAAGTTGGCTTACTTTTTGAAGTTAGTCAAACCTATGAGTTACTTTAATAAGGATGCCTTTGCTGCCTTTCCTAGTGTTCCACGAACAAAAGACTAACAGGAAACAAGATAGAAAACTGACTAAGAAAGTCTGCCAAGAAAGAAGGAGAAAAGGTCTCTTCCACTCCAGAACATGAAGAGAATTTATTTTTATGCTACTGTGAATACGTATTTTGGGTAACACTCTGAGCTTCAAGGATTTGTGCAACAAAGAAGATTTCAGTCCTACAGTAGTAACCTTGGTGTTCAAATGCTTGAAACAGATTACTAGAAAACATGAAAGGAGTAAATTCTGAGTGGAAACACTGAAATTTTAGAACAAGACTGTAATGACATTAACTCTAAATGTGAGACTATCCTGCCACTGGGAATACACAAAGAGTCGCTCTTGTATTTCTCATTAGTAAAAGACCTAAAGAAATCAGATGTTGAGTCCTATCTCTTCAGTCAATAGAATTTCAGCATTGCTAGAATCCTCACTTAACCTGCTTCTAGGAACAAGGTCAGTTCAAAAACTGAAAATGAACAAACACGCATCCCACACCACCGGGGTGCCAGCTGCGGACAGACAGCGTTCAGGTGCTGCTCACAGCGGGTGTTCTGCTCGGGCATTGCACGGATTAAGAGGACGCCGAGGAGGCGCCGAGCGAGCGGCCGCGGGCCCGCAGGTGCTGAAGGGACAGCTCCGGCGGCAGCGGGGACCGGACGGGACGGGCCGGGACAGCCCCGCGGGCAGCGCCCCGGCTTCCCCCCATCCGCCCCGATCCTGGGGAGAACCGCGGCAGTAAGGGGGCAGGCAGGAGAACAAGATGGGCAAAGGAAACCGAAGGGCTGGAAAGCAGAACACTTTGTGTGCCGCCACCCATTTTCCATCAGAAAAAGCACATCCCTGCTGGATGCACAAATTAATAGGGGTGGGATGTAAAACCGAGAGACTTCAGCTTCCACATGAAACCCAATGCATGACATTGAATGTTCTTTTATCTGGAAGTACGATCTTAGTATAGTTTGAAAATGTATACTTCTGTAAGGCAAACTGGCCAGCTTACCCTCATGGGTAGCTTATTAATAAAAGCCCCTGATTTTTAAAAAATGTTTTGTTTAGGGTTTTTAAGCCTAAATTCAGTATTTTCTACTGAATTAGTTTATTCATTTTCATAGTTTGAGTTATACAGGTACATTAGGGTGCAAAACACTTGGTTTTTGTCACATTTCTAAACTCCAGCGTCATTTGGCAGCTGTGCTGAACAGGACTGAACAGAATTCAAGAACTGAAGTGCTCTCGTTCCTCTGTGGGCTGGTAAGGAACTACAGAGCCTGTACACCATGAACCAGTGGCCATGTTGACAACTGCAAAGCAGGTGCTGTTTAATCAGCCCTTATTAGACCATATGATTAAATTGTTTAATTCAATCTTAAGTGTTTAAGAACCCCCAGCACAGATGAGAGTCCCTCAAGTTGGTGCACTCCTGACAGCCACCACAGGCTGCTTTTTATCATTCATGGTATCTTCACCAAGGCAAAATTCCAGCACACTACAAGGATGGCTAAAATTACCAGCTAAACTAGGACAACTCTCAGTAGAAGCAGAATCTCCAGGACTTGTACTCCCAAATTTTCATTAAACGTATAGATAAACTTTAGAAAAGCCAGTAAAAATAGGTTCTGTGCTGGGGTGCATGTCCAGAACGACACTTTGCATCACTCCTGCAAAACTGGACTTACTGGACTATGAAGTATTAAACAGCAGACAGTGATTCCTGTTCCAAACAGCTATCAAACTAACATCATCAGCTCTAAAAATGGACTGCATTCCTTGCAAAGGATTTCTAATACTCCACTAGAAAATCCAATTCAATGGCAACCAACTTTAACCCCTGTCCAAACTGCATTGTTTTTTTAAAAGAAGCCCCATACTCCTTAAGCATTATAAAAACCTCTGGAGGGCAATAAATCCTACTTTGTCATGAATGTATGGTTGGTGACTTGACAGAAGAGAAGTAGTGTAGTTCTGCAGGGGGCAGGGGAAGAGTAAGGCAAAGGGAGAAGTTACAACTCCACAACTTTTGGTGAGCCATCAGGCCATCGAAGAGGCAGCAAGACAGGAGAATCCACAGTTACAAAGCCTGAACTTGAACATCCCACAGAGGATGGGAGCTGAGGGTTCGAAAGGTTCTACAGAAATGGTTCCCTTAAGAACTTCAAAAGCAAAACCTAATAAGCATCCATTCACAGCTTTTTCTGTGTGTGGGGAAAAAATAACAGTGCTCTTGCAGCACGGAAGAAAGGAACAGCACCTAGTTCCTTTCACAAGCCCAAGGGCAATGCTACAGATTACTGAGTTTTACCTAAATGCTCTCAAGAAGAATCTAAAGTAAGAAAAAAAGCTATTAGTTGTACTCCTTGGAGATACGGCCTAGATAGGGCAAAGCATCTTTTCACTCTTTTACTTTCTAGAAAAGCCTACTAGTCTGAAGATCTTTCTCTGCCCCTCAAAAAAAAGCACCCTTGCCTGAATTGTCAATGGTGATAGATAAACAGGATCTAGAAAGTCATTCCATGTTGTTTCTCTTTCCACAATTGTCCATAGTGACTAAAAAACGTTGAGATGAAACAGCCCTATTCTCTGTCTCCAACAAAGGCTTCAAAACTGCACCGAAATTCAGGGAAACAAACCAATCCCTCAGTGCCTTCAGCATCACAACATAGTCAAGTGACCTTTAGGCAGCCCCAGATACCCAAACACGGATACAACTCACTCACAGGTATTTCAGGACAGAACTTGTAAGAGGGCAGAGGAACCTGTTAACACAAGTCAACTTAGAAATTTTTCAATCAGAAATAATCAGCTTTTGATTAGTAAGTAGGATAATATTGTACAAGTATTAGCAGTGAATCAACACTTCAGGAAACAACTGTTTCCCTTCCAGCAACCTTTCTTTAAGAATATTCTTAAGGCAGAATGACCAGAGCCCTGGTGACTCCACCACTGCCCAGTCACCAGGGTTTTGTTGCTTGATGAAAATTTATCAGCCCCTGGAAAGGCAGGTCTTAACAATGGGAAACTGCTCCCGGCGTCGCCGAAACGCCACCACACTGAGGCAAGCTCTGCCTTCCAAGGAGCGGCGCGCTGGCCGGGAAGGCAAGAGGGCACTGGAGCAGCAGGAATACCTCTGCGGGTGGGCAAGGGAACACACCGGGGGCTGGGGCGGCCCCAGGCCGGGGGGGCTGAGACGCCGCAGCCCCTCCGCTCGTCACTGAAGGCCACCCCAGGCCCCCCCACGCCGTCGCCGGCTGGGCCCGCGGCCTCCCACGGCCGCTCGCCACCGGGATGGGCCTTCCCTTCCCCCTCAGCGGCGGCACCGGCTTCCAACAGGACCCACGGAAGGGCCGGGCCAGGCCCCTCCCCAGGGACATCGGGAGGGCCGAGCCTCGGCTGTGCCCACAACCTCGGCAGTTCCGCCGGTCTCCTCCCCCCTCCCATACCCACCCCAAGCCCGCGATAGGGGGCAGGACCAGGCCTGTCCCTGGCTCCCTCTCGGCAAAGGGGCCGCGCCGAGCTCCCCGTCCGGGCCCGGGCTCCCTTACGCTGTATGGCGGGGGGCGGCGGGTATCGGGCGCGCAGCTCCGGGCCGCCCCCCTGCACGCCGCTGCTCACGTAGTTGCTGGGGAAGATGCCGACGCGCTGGTCGATCTTGCCCGTCCACCAGCCCTCGTCGCCGGACACGTGCGAGTCCCGGGACAGCACCTGCACCACGTCCCCCGGCCGCAGGCTCAGCTCGTCCTCGCCGCACGCCTCGTATTCGAAGACAGCGGTCCAGAGCGGCCCGTCGCCCGGCGGCTCCCCGCCGCCCGCGCCCTCCTGGCTGAGCTCGGTGAGGGGCTCCATGGCGAGGCTGCTCCATAGGGGGAGGCGCCCACGGCAGCCGGGCGCTGCGGGGGGCGCGGGGCCGGGACCGCCGCCTATTGTTCATGCGGCCCGGCGCCCGCCGGCACCAGGTGCCGCCGCCGCTGCCGGGGCTTCCCGGCACGGGGCCGCCTCAGCCCAGCGCGGGCAGGGGCGAGACCAGGCAGCGTGTGCCGTGGAGGAGCCGCCGCATCCCCCCCATCCGCCGCCTCCTCCGTGCCCGCCTCCGCCTCCTGCCGCCGCCGCCGCGCATCCCGGAGCCACCTGACTCTCTGGCAGCTTCGGCAGCGCGAGGGGTGGGCAGGGCGGGCTCCGCCCCCGCGCCACCATTGGCCGCCGCCGCCGCCCGTCAGCTCCGCCCTCACCTGATTGAGGGCCCGCGCCCCCTTGGCCACGCCCCTCCCCTACCGGCCCCCGGCGTCGCGCACTCACCGGTGTGCCGCCGATTGGCCCCCGCACGGTCAGCTCTCGCTTCCCATTGGGCCGCGCGCTCTGAGCTCCGCCTTCCCCGCCACGTCTCATTGGCTGGGGAAAGGGGCATGACACGGGCCCAGGGCGGGGTGGGGCGGCCCGAGGGCGGAGCGGGCGGGCGCCACCTGGTGGCGGGCGGAGGCGGCGCACGCCTGGGCTCGGTGCCCCCCGCGCCGCCGGGACCGGTCGGAAACCCAGCAGGATCTCGGTTTCCTGTTAGGCCGTGGACTTCCATAACCCGTCCGAACTTAAGCACGGGTGTTAGATGGCTTCTGCACGAGGTCATCGTGGGTGTATCCCTGCAGATTTGTTAAAAATTAACAGAATTTACTTCTCACTCTTGCAATCAGCATGTTGCTGCTCGGTCCTGAACATCCAAATGCCTTCTCCCTGCTGCCAGGGTTTTCACAGCTTGTGGAGACACCAGATCTTGTCAGTGGAATTTGCTTGAACTTGGTGATATTACTGGGAAATTTTCTTCACATTTCACTCCATTTCATTTGAATTCCAGTGGTAAAACTGGAAATGAAAATTCTGTGTTATTGCTTCATCATAACAAAGCCCACTAATGCCAAATGAGAGGCCCAAGTACGGTGACCACATCTGATGTCTTCACACTTATACATAAACTGCAGGGCTTCGTTATTCTTTAGTATTTAGTAAATGCAATTACACAGTTCTTGTCTGCAAGATGGATTTTTAAAAAATTCTCCATCCCCAAGTCAGGCCTTCGGTTTGGTTTATGTACAGAGTAGTTCCTACTAATTCCTTAACTTTGGGCATTGTGGTTTTGTCTATTTATCCATCCTTGCATTAGCATTATTCTGTAGCACCTTTATAGGGAGCCCCAGGGTTCAGGCTTTTAACAGAATAATGAAATCTAAAGCATAACATGCTCTGAGTTAATTCAAAACTCTTATCATTGTTTGTAAAATATTTGAATTTACTTAAATTTACACTGGGAATACACCTCCTCTCAACTGAACCTTAGTAACAAGTACCACAGAGAACCCTACTGGGAACTACAATTATCCTATTTTCTCTCTTTTTTTCCCCAAACTTCAGAGCCTTTATTTATCACAGAAGCTAAACAGGCACAGTCTAGAAAGAGCTGGTCTATTAGTATCCTTCTTGTACAAATAGAGACCAAAACATGTCTAGTTGAGGTCAGAACTGACATTTCACTGTGATGCATGCAAGATTTAGGCATGCTTCAGCACAAGTTTTCAATTGAATTTGTCTCAGAACTGAGCCTTAGGTTTTCTCCTCTCTCTCCACTGCCTCTTGTCAGCGAGGGCAGAACTGAGGATGCATCCTCTCCACTATTCCTTTGTTACTTAAGGGTGTGTTTTCACAATTAGTGTAAGCTTATCCAATACTATTTTGTTGCTGAAAGGACTTTCCTGCCCCTTTTCACATGCTTGACCTGCTTTCCTGATTACAACAGTAGTGACTGTGGCTGTGGAGTCATTTCAGCTCATTCATCTAGCTGAAAGCTAAGCCTCTGAGTAAAAGCAGCTAGTTTTCAATCAGCTTTTTAGGTTGATCTGACTTGCATTAGGACTGTACACACAGACATTAAGGCCAGCACAAGGAAGCTGGGCAGGTGAAAGGGACAGCCCCCTAGCTTTTTCAGGAACATCCCATCTTTCAGTTACCTTGTCTTGATCACGAAGACAAGGGGTAACAAATAGCTGTATTCATGGGTTTGGAATTGAAATAATAGATTACTGAGAAGGAATATGAAAGACTGCTCTTGATACTCCCACTTAAAGTAATTGCAGTTGCATGCAATAATTCTGTCTAATTTTATGCAGATAAAAATTTCAGATGAGAAATTATAATGCTTTACATTAATACAGCACTTTAAATGTTGTAATATAAAAAAATATGAGACATAAAACAGAGGCCTCCTGTCTTTCAGCTGTTTGCCAGTTATTTTGATCACTGCTATAAAGCACTGATAGGTTTAAAGTAGAAAGCTATATTACTAATGGTAAAGACTATGACAGGAAAAAAATTGCTACTGTAGAGGCTCAGGTTGCCTGCTGTAGTGACCTGCCAAGACAGAACCCTGCCATCTTGTGGATTGCCTTCATATCAAAGTACACTGCTTTACTTCTCAAAAGACACCTTCTTTTTCTTTTTTCTTTTCTTATTTCCCACGATGATATGTTTGTTTCTACAGAAGTAGTGTGACTGCTCAGGAAGCTGTTTGTCCCTGGAGTGTCCAGGGAAATACTCTGAAGAGCCATCATAGGATTTTCCCACTCTCACGGACTTCTCTTGGCATCTTTTACCAGCCATGTCAGAGACTGGTGTCTGAATTAAAAGATTTGGCCAGATTGGGTAGGCTGTTCTTAACATCAAGGTAAATAGAACTGTCAGTAAATGTTAAATTCATATTCCAGTAACTGGCAAAAGGTAGATGAAAAGAACACTAAAGACTGTCTGCACACAGCCTTTGAAAGATGACATTTTAGCATTGGCAAGATACAGACAGATTTTTTAAGTGGTGCATGCCTTTCTGAGGAACATATAGCCCAACTGCTACATTGAAAGCTTCTTCTTACGCATTTTCTAGTAAGACTGTATCTGTTCTCATTATTATTTAGCAGATCCAAATAATGGGAATTAGATTCTAGATCTAAAGATCCAGTTCCTAAAGTCTGTGTTTGAATACACACTCTGCTTCTTAAAGTTTGGAAATGGATTTGCTATAATGCGTTTCAAAAGAAGAATAACCTGCAAAATGCAGATGATACTCTGAATTTAGTTCAATTTTTTTCAAACTGAGAACCTTGAACCAAAGCTTTTAATTCAGACTCATTTCTTCATCTACATTTTCAAAGTTCCAACAAATTATTGGATGGTAAACAAGAAGGCCCATCTAGTCCCATTTTTTTTTAAGAAGCAATAGAAAGTATTCTGCTTATTCAGTATCATTATTAATACAAATTTAGGATTATGATCTTAGCTTTTGTCCTGTGTTTTCCAGAGGCTTGTGCAGATTACCACTAGATTTAGCAGCTCTATAATTTACTAAAACTTGGCAGTACACAGTTACAAATCTAACGGGATATCAAAATGTTGGAAGTCTAGGCTCCTAGTATGTGTGTTCTGCAAAGGATAAAAACCAGAATGGTACTAAAAAAATAAAATGAAGAGGAATGCATTGTCATATATTGCAACGGTTCCATATTGCTAGAGTTTCATACCTCCCTGATGCTTCTCATAGGAGCTCCTCTAAGCATTGCCTCTACTCACAGTAACCAACTAACTCCAATCTCCTCTCAACCACCCAATCCACTCTTTTATAACACTCTTCTGATTGACTACAGCTGTGGCCTGGTAAAGTCAGGCCTGTTCCCAATCTCTAATAATTGGCTCAACTGCAACTCCTCAAGGGGTAAGATTGCTTTCTATACTACATCTATTTTCTTATATTGTATCCCCTTACAGGAATGTCCAGAAAAAAAGGAAGGACTGCGGGCACCATCCAACTACCAGCGCAGTAAGAAAATATAAAAGATTAAGGAGATGCCCCTTGGCACATCTTATTGCAGCTCACTCCTCTTACATCCTGTGGTAATTTATATTGCATATTAAATTAACACAGCACTCTCATTTGGCTTTTATACATTTAAGAGGAAATACCACAGATCAATTGCTGATAATTTCTGCTCAAACAATGTAAGCTTTACTGATGAACGGATTTTTCTATCATTAAAAATTGCCTCTCTACATGGCTGTAAAGCTAGACTGGGTTTTTCCCCCACTTTAGAACAGTACTGCTTTTCCAACATCACTTTAGTGTAGGTTTGTTCTTGACTTGATGAGGGGGAGAGGGGTAAGCCACTGGCAACAGAAGCTTTATGAACTGTGCTGTGCTAGCTAGGAGGCAGGCTGCAAATCTGGGTCTTGAGCATGTGAGTCAGTAAAGAGAGAGCTCTACCCTGCTTCATAAAATATATATGCTAATCTCCCAGATGGCTATATGTTCTTTCTCCATAAAACAGATGACCTGGAAAAATAAAAGATAAAAACACCGGAGAGTGGGAATTCTGGGCCAAAATCTGGAAGCTTGCAGTAGATTTTACAGACAGACTTGGATTTTAAATTTAGTTTGGATCTGGTTTCATAACAAAATAGAGCAATGGCTATTATTATAGGTCACAGCATAATTTCTCATGCAATATGAATCATTCATATGTCTGCATCCCTCTAAGAAAAATATAACAAAGGAACACTTTCAAGTGAGATTTCTGTCTGCACTAGAAGATACATGCCTAACAGAAATAATGGTTAACTCAGCTTAGTAATGATTAACATTTGCACACTGTGTATTACCTCAAACCAAGCCACACACATAGCTCTTGTTTGATTAGTCATAGACTGAGTTGCTGCTCCTGCAAGAGAATATCAGAACCATGCTGCCACACTGGCAACATTGTGCCACAGTTTCACAAATGTGTGGAACAAATATTTAACTTATTTGCAGAACTGTGATTAGCGCAATGCAAATGCTCTCACCACAGTTCAGGAGAGACACTACAGAAAACTTTTCAGGTTTCTGA